CCAATATAGGACAAGTATACGCATATCATTTGATTAATTCGGCCAAATATATTTCAGTTTGATCATAATACTCGTCATGAACGGTATGAACATCAAAGTTTAGGTCTCTATAGTAAGTCCCTTTGCTAGAATTTTTCATTTGCTCTTCTTCTCTTATCAATCATTCATACCTAATCACGTTCGCGCTAAGTTGGAAAAGATTAGGAAATTCCCTGCCTTGAAATTTCTTTTTCAAATCAAAGTTTAAACAATTTTGAGCGATTTTGACAAACTCTTTTTCGGGCAAAGGCAAAAAGCATTTACTTCTTGCTGTCTTGAACCTTTGAAGGAAACCTTCTGCCCATTCGTTTGACATTTGACGTAGATTCGCCAAATCGGCCAAGATAACTTCAGATTCAGTCTTATAAAACTGAGCATGGAACAATTGTTCCAGTTGTTGCCATGTTTGAACAGAGTTCGCTGGCAAATTAATGACCAGTAGAAAGCTACTCCTGTTAATGAACTAGGGAACAACCTCATTTTATGATAGTCAGTCACTTCACCACTTTGCAGTGTGAATCGCCCTATATGTTTTAAAATAGACACTTCTCCTAAACCAGTGAATAATGAAAATTCTGGCACTTTTTACTCTCTAGGTCATGGATATGCTTGATCTACCCAATCAAGATATGACTTTGTGTAAGTTGGCCTAATGACAGGACATACCCCAAAAGCCATTTGATCCTGTAATATCTCCATGATTTGATTCCTTAACATGACATTGGGATCATATGGAACTCCTACAGGCTGGTTTACTGGTTGATTTGTTTGCGGCCTACCATTTGGTTCTTGGTTGGCAACAAAAGTGCAATTGTTTGGGCCATTATTACCATTAAATCCATGATTTGATTCCTCAACATGACGTTGGGATCATATGGAATTCCTTCATGCTGGTTTACTGGTTGATTTGTTTGAGGCCTAATATTTGGTACTGGTTGGCAATAAAATTGCCATTGTTTGAGCCATTATTACCATTAGCCTGAGTATTTATTCGATCATTAACACGTGGGGTATTATGTCCATTGTTCAGGACATTGTCTCTTATATTTGGATTATCCCCTAGGATTGATGTATCATTACCACTATTCAAGTTTGGCACTACATTACCCCCCTGATTGGAAGTAGACGGACCAAATGGTGGTTCTATCCCTTGATTTGGACTTAGGACTGGGGAATTATGTCCCACAATCGTCCTGGTTTGAAAGTGGTTTGCAATAGGCACAACTTGCTGACACATTTGGCCTACTAACTTGTTCATTATTTCGTTTAATGTATTCAATTGTTTGGTCATGTTGTCATAATGTGCATTCCCATTTTTGGGTAAATCTTTCCATATTATGAATATTTCGTAGATTTACCTGTTCAACGACATCCTGTGTGAGTTCCCCAAGCAATGCACGCATGGTTCGAGGACTCAACTCTGTCATTGGTTCGTAAAGAATGTGACTGCTTTGACTCTATCCCTCTGTTCGTGGAGAGCTTTGCTGCTCCTCATATCGCTCGATCACCGATTGGACTACTCCTTGACTTGTAGTTCCTTATCAAAATTTTTATAAGCATAATGCTTCACTTTTTTGTATCTTCACACACCAAACACCAATTGTCCCACTGAGCGTGCGAAATTGTTTCCCACATGTTGTCACTAACAATTAAAAAAGGTTCAGACGATTGTGTAAGGAACACACCTCTTGAGACAAAGTCTCAAAAATGGGTGTTTTATTGGTGAAGATCACAATTGGATATAAACAGAATGCCTCCAAGGGGCACAAGCACATGACTACTGAAAGAAGTGTTTTAAAGTTAAACTAATAAATTGAAATTACATATTATCTGTTGAGAGTGTTTGATTCGGGGTCTCTTCTTATATGTCTTCCTTTCATTTTTATACTCCTTTGATAGCTTCTTTGTGGAAAACTGCTTGGAAACTGCTAGGTGTTCTATAATTACCCACTTTCTTCATGATGACTGACTTCTCATAGAATTGCCGTCTCTAACTGTTGCCATTACTCTTGTCGTTTAACTGCTTACAACCGTGATTCTTGGATCGTGGGGTGTGATAAGGTTACTCAATAATCGCTTCAATAATTGTTGTACTGGATAACCATAAGACCTCATGTTCACTAAGATCCTGGGCGATTCGAAGGTTTGGGCGAGAACATGATTATTCGTTTTGGGAGATCTTAAGGCACTCAATTCGCTCAAATCCTAGGCGCCTTACAAGTTTGGGCGATGATGGTATCTTGTTTGTGGGCCTTCAATGCATTCATTAATGGTTCTATTTGGGCCTTCATCCTAAATTTCCTAACTGGGCTTCATCCCTTGGACTATTCAATTTGGGCTACACTTTTTGTATGTCAACACAAAGAAAATAAAATATTGAGTTATCATCCAAGTACAATTTACAAATAAAGAAAATCTAAATAATTTTTTTTCAAACTATATATGCACACTCAAGAAGGCAGAAAAGATTAAAGCAAAATAAATTATATATGTTGATATTATCTGTCCCAAATTATACACCGCCTTCCCTATTGAAAGTATAGTTTATTTTTTTGTTTTCTGAATATGCCCTTGTTAATGTGCTTTGTTATTAAAAATATGAACTACTTCTACTTAAATTATTATTTAAAGTAGGGGTAAATTAAAAAAAAAAAAATTTATGTTTCACATTTAAAAATAGAAATAAATCTATCTTTATGGAACAAAGGAAGTATCTATTTAGACATTAAGCCCATGTTTCATAGAAAGTATAATCTAATTTTTTATTAAAATCAAAGTCAATAATTAATTTTAATTACATATTTCATGGGTCTCACGACTTTTCAACCATATATTTTATCAACTTTTATCAAAATCTACTAAAAATCTGATTTTAATCTTCACCAAATATGGGCTAAATATCCATATAACCTGCATGTGATGTTTGATTGAAAATGTAGTATTACTCAAAGTAACAAGGGTTATGTCACTTTGACAGAAAGTGGTCGACAGATAAAGTGGCATAATATTAATTAGCAAGATATGATTGGCTGAAAAAGTTGATATTGTTCAAAACAATCAAATGTTGAAGTGTTATGCAGTATTGTGTCAACCATTGTATCAAAAATTATGTTTCTATAGCATGATTCAAATAAAAATGTAAATTTAACGGTGGCCATTTGAGTTTTGACTAAGAGATAAAAAAAATTTAAGATAATTTTACCTGTGGAAGGTGGGGACTTGGGAGAACGTAAAATTGCAGACTTGTTAAAAGGTTGGGAACATAAGTACACAAATAGAAGTTTGGGGACCTTAGAGGAATTTACTATATTAAATGAGAGGTAGAAAATGAACAAGAGAAACCGCAGGAGAAGCACGTGTGCAAACGCAAACAGTAAACTAAACTCACTGCACATTTCTCACATTTACTAGACCAAAGGCACCCCACCATTATATCCCCTACTATCCGCTCACGCTCTCAGCTTCATCTAGGTTTATTTAATCGCTTTATCATCAGGTATGTAAATATTTAATTGAATAAAGTTCTGGAGCAGTTAAATGGATGTTTTGATGGATTATAGTTGAATTTGAACTATGTTTAAGGATTTCCTTTTCGGGATTTCTTTTCATATTTTGCTTAATTTTGCGAGTTTACAAGCTGTCTTTTTTTTTCCTCTCTCTGTTCGTTATTAATTATGCATGTTTTTATTTGGAAGCAGATCTTATTTATTAATCATGAGATTATCGGCGAGTGAGTTATCGGATTTTGTGAATTTAAAATACGGATCGAATTATTGTGAGCTGTTGATTAATAAGGGTTTTATGAATTCAAATGTATGATTATTTCCATTTATAACCCTTTCATGCCAATTGGACTTAGATTCAAGCATATCTATAAACATTGAAGAACCCCAATTTTTGAAGGGGTTGCATAACATTGTAAAGTGTCTATAGCATATATAATGCTCTTCACACTTTGGTAATTTTATTTATCCAATCTTTATCTTTTCTTTCGTTTGTTGTGCTCAAGTCGATAAATGATAAGTGTCAAATACTTCTAACTTTAATGAAATTATGTATTTGTGGGAGATCATGATCTAGCATTCTTGTTGAACATCGTGCTTCTTTGTTTTAGTTTTATAATGCAAGTGAAAATACTAGTGAATTCTCAAGTGATTGATTTAGACTGCTACTATTCTCTAGTTTTGGATCCATTATTTTTTCCCTATTTTCAGGCTAATAATACACAAGCCATCTGGATTTTTTTCTGTTACTTGATTCAAATTTCTTTCTTTATGGCCTACATGGTGATATGATGATATGTGCCATATTCTGTGATCTAACGTGGATTATATATTTAGAGAAGTTGGGCTTTCATTAAATCTCTTTTATTTTATTGTGAGGTAACAGTGCCGTGCTCAAGAAGGTGGCTGTGCCAGTCGTATATCTGAATATTTTTTACAAAGTTGTGGTTCTATCAAAATGGCGGATGATAATGCCCTTGATCTGACCTTGGGTCTGCCTTGTGGTGGCGGCGGTTCCTCAGTTAAAGGTAAAATTGGCAGCTCATCTGATACTAGATCAGATGAAGTTGATAGAGGTAGCAAAGTAATTGATAAGTTCAAAAACTTTCTGGAAGATGGGACCCAACAAAATCTTGTGAAAACAGAGGAGAATATCTTTAACAACTTTCCAAAAGCAGCTGTGGATGTGGAAACATCTAAAAACTTGAACACAGGTGGGTTATGGGTTACAAATGATTGCAGGTCTACATCAGTTGAAGAAGAAAAGAGATCAGATGTTAGTGAAAAGCGCAAAAGCTTGTTTAGTGAAATGAGTCAACAAAAGAAACGTGGGACAGAATCTCATCATCCTGATTTGACCGATAAGACCAAGGGATCCCACATTTCCATATCCACTGATGAGGGATCAACTGCAGAAAATGAAGGTGTAGCTGATTCTGAAGTGGAGGGTTCAAGTATAAGACAGGTTTCTCAGCATGATGACAGCTCAAGACGGTTTGTAGACAGTGGTGGTAAGTCCAGGGTTCATAAGGAGGTCCATGCATTTTCTGATTCCAGTGGTGTAGAACTTTTAGGACAGAATAGATTTACCATTTCATCAGAAAAGGAATATAATATGGGGAACGTGTCAACGCACTATCGTATTCCGTTCCCAGCTCAATTTGTAAACATGTTGAATGTGCCTTACTCTCAATCTGTAAAGGATTATAACCCTAGCAGTACTCCTAGTTCCTCTAGTTATCCTTTACCTGGCATGATGCATGTGATGGGTGGCACAAATAGCGAGCGACCAAGTGTGATGTCTACAAACTTGCCATTGATGTTTGGGTACACTCCTGTTCAGCTTCCAACACTGGACAAGGATAATCTGCAGGGTCTTGTTTCTCATCATCAGCAGCTTCGCCCAACTTTTACAGGAAGGGATCAAATAAACTTGGACAAGGGCAATGATGGGCCAAAGATAACTCAAGGTTTTCTTTAAAATCTTTATGCTTATCCGTCCTTTTTATTTTAACCCTCAGCTCTCAGAGCACAATAGCCACAACATTTCTTTTCACCTAACAAAAGTGCATGCCTTTATTTGAAAAAACTGTTATTTCCATCCGTATTTGGTTTTGCATGAATGAATTATTTGTTTTTACAAGCAATATGGCTTGTATATTGGTGAAGACAATTCAAAATTCACCTTTTCAGCTTTAACAAGATCTGATTTGTTAGATTGAGAAGTTACGTAGAGAGCATGGAATTTTTAATTGTAATGAGCCATAAACTACATGTTATGGTATTTTAAAATCAGTTTATCTGGTATTGTTATCAGCAACTAGCAATCTAGGGTACTAGTCTCCTCTGATGTTGACTTTTAGAGATGTTGATATGCATGTTGGGAGAAGTTTAAAATCACGAGAGGCAACATGTTATGTCAATGTCATTGATTTCATGCAAATGAAAATTTATTGGGTTGTTTAGGACACTGGCCATACTACAAATGTATAGAAATAATTTTGGCTGAGATGGGAACATTTGCTGGAGAAAAGTCAGCACTGAATTTATATCACCCCTCTCCACCCCCTCCTGTTCTACCCCTGGCCTGGTGAATATAGTTTCGATACCAGAATGGTATGAAAGTATATCTGGAATATACTACCATGTTTTCAAGAACTATGAAGCTAAAATATAACTGAAATAGGATATGAGAACTGCTATCTTTTGAAATTGCATTCAAGAAAAAACTTATCTGAATTGCAACTACATTTCTATAGTGATTATACCTGCAACTTAACAAAGTTACAGACTTGTGCATTAGTTCACCTTTTTGGGACATTCTGCTTGGGTCTTGGTGAGAGATGGGTGGTGCTTTTAATGAACCCTCGGAGCACAGGCAAGTGCAAAGGGGAATCAACGTAGTGAAAGCGGTTGGACATTGGCCGGAGATCGGAGTCACGCATCAAGCGATTGGATATGCCGATCTCCAACCACTACCCGTTCTTGACAAAGTATGGGAGGATATCTTGATGGATTTTGTAGAAGGGCTTCCAAAATCGAAGGGGTTCGACTCAATTTTATTAGTAGTGGATTGTTTAAGCAAATACGCACATTTTATCGGCCTAAAACACCCATTTTCAGCCCCGTCCATTGCTGCAGTTTTTGCCAAGGAAGTGGTTAAGTTAAATGGAATACCTTGCTCTATAATCTCCGATCGAGATAAGGTGTTTGTAAGTCAATTTTGGAGTGAGCTTTTCGTATTGCAAGGGACATCGTTAAAGCATAGTTTGGCTTATCATCCACGGACCGACGGCCAGACTGAGGTGGTAAATAGAGGGGTCGAGACATATTTACGGTGTTTTTCCTCGGTGAAAGCAAAGCGGTGGTATCAGTTTCTACATTGGGCTGAATATTCTTATAATACCTCCTATCGTGTATCGGCACAGCTCACCCCTTTTCGCATTTTATATGGACGCGACCTGCCTCAGTTAATTCGTTTCGAGCGGTAGTCATATCAGTCTTGGAACAGCAAATGCTGGAACGAGATAGAGTTTTGGACGAATTAAAAATACATCTTCATAGGGCCCAACATCATATGAAGTTGGCAGCTGACAAACATAGAAGGGATGTGGAATATAAGGCAGGAGATTGGGTTTTATGTGAAAATGAGGCCGTATAGGATCAGACCACTATCGGGACGCTACAATGAAAAGTTAGCCCCGAGGTACTACGGACCGTTTAAGGTGTAGGCAAGGGTGGGAAAGATGGTTTATCGCTTGTCACTACCAGCTGCTACTCGTGTCCACCCTGTTTTCCACGTTTTGCAGCTGAGAAAAATGGTGGGAAATGCTCCTGTGACCTCTTCCCTGCCCCTTCAACTTGGTGAGGATTGGGAATTACTTTTGGAACCAGAATTTGTCTTAGGTTTCAGACAGCCAAATCAGGGTACAACTGAAGCTATGGAAATATTGATTCAGTGGAAGGGGCTGTCACCTATGGAAGCAACTTGGGAGCCATTCGACTTAATCAACCAGCAGTTTCCTTCTTGGCACCTTGCGGACAAGGTGACTGCATTGGTGTGGGGGGGTGGGGGGGGTGTATTTGGTAAACCCGCAATTAAATTTACATACACAAGACGTAAAAAAAGGCCAAGCAAGCACATGGGAGGGAGCCAACAACTTGACAGTATGGCACAGTAAAGTCGTTAGAATGATGCCAAGTCATTAAATTGTCAAGGGCTGTCAATCATTTTGTTAAGAGTCAGTTGGGATAGGGTATAAATAAACATGTAAGGGTAGGGGAGTAGGGTATGAAATGAATTGAGTAAGGAAGAGGGAAATGGAGAATTGTATTTTCCTTTAGTTTTCATTTACAGATTCATATTTCATTTTGAATCTATAATACAGAAAAACAAATACATCTTCTTCAAGGGGGGGGGGGGTCGGGGGGGAACCATTGTAACGCAATGCCATTTTTAGTAGTTTTGAGATATTGGAAAGTAGCCCTCTCGAAAAGTGTATCTGTTTTTTTTCTGTATTTTCTTACTATCATCAATACATTGCAACTACTACTCTCATTCCAGCAACCAATCCCTCTTTTCTTCATTTGAATCCCATGGAATTTATTGATACCATAATATTTAATATTAGACCTTAAGATTGAATTTCACCTGATTGGTTTCTTGGAGTAATTATGGTTCACTAATTATCCAATCACGGATATCACTGAGTGCACATAAATTGCAAATGCGGTTCTGACTGTTTCTCATGTTTATGTAGCAACCATGCCAGTGATTTTGCACAAGTCATCAGATTCTAATGATGGGAAGGAAGTAGAACGTGCCAGAAGTAATGGAAAACAACATGTTGGAGAAGAAGGCTCCTCTCACACAGAAGGTGATCTAAAAGGAATCGACTTCCCAGCTATTCGACCAGGTATCGCGGCAGACCTGAAATTTGGAGGTTGTGGGTCCTACCCAAATCTGCCATGGGTTTCGACCACTGGTTCGGGTCCAAATGGAAAAACAATATCTGGTGTGACTTACAAGTACAGTCCTACACAAATAAGGATCGTTTGTGCTTGTCATGGATCCCACATGTCTCCTGAAGAATTTGTTCAGCATGCGAGTGAAGAGAATCCAGAATCTGGCACTGGTTTAGCCTCGTTCCCAAGTAGCACTCCAGCAGTCTAAGCATTTGGCAATGAAATTCTTCATAATTACTGAAAATGTTTCTGCGCTGCCTCTGTCATAGTTTTGACACCTAATCTGAGCAAATATATGCATTTGGTTATGCATAACGAATAAGATGTTGCGTCTATCACTCTCCAACGTCTACGATTTTTCTCTGTAGTCCTGTGTCTTTGCACCTTAATTTTGTGTAAAATCTATCAATTTTTTTTGTCAGACAGATAATAGATATTCTCTTTTCTGCTGTGGTAATGTTTGATTGACAATAATATATCTATCTTTTCCATACTTGGCGCTGGGAGGTAAGGTGCACCGATTTTTCTTGGTACCTCATTATCATATTGTTAGCAAATGATGTGCATGCTGACGGTAAGAAGCAATTAAATGATGATTTGTGCTTCTAATTGCTTCATTCTGGTTGAAATTGGGAACCCACAGGGTAAACATGGTTCTAAATGGAGGGATTGCATTCTTGCTTCATATTTGATACGTAGTATTGAGTATGTTTAAATATTAAAAATCTATTTGGTATTGATTTTACTTGTATTCACACCATCCAATATTGAGCATGATTACATAATTTAGTATTTGCTATATTAGTTACACAATATTAAGAACGATTAAAATATATTTAATATTTACTACGACTAAAATAAATTCAATATTTTCTATTTATTTTACTTAATAGTTAAAATAAATGATTTATTTTGGTAAAAAATGTAGGATTTATTTATTTTTCTTAAAGTTTGCGCCACACATAATTTCAATTTTTTTTCTAAATATTTGCATCACATAAACAATAGTTAATTGATCAAAAAAGTTAAATTTGACCACCTTTTAATAATTTTGAAGAGGGCAAAATAATAACTTTTTATTTTTCACATAAAAATCAATTAAACTAAATAATTAAATCAAAAGACAAAAAGAAAAAAAAAATTTCTTCCATCTTCTTCTTCCGTCACCCTCACCCCAACCCCAAGCACTGCCCCCACCAAACCATACCCAAAAAAATTGAACACAATCCGACCATACCTATCATCATCCCCTGTCCATTGTGCACCCATAGTTAGCAATATAACTCTATTAATAAATTTGAAAAAAGAAGCATTACAATTTACATGGTAGTGCATTGTTGGGATGCAGAACGATTGCATTTAGAGTTAAGAGTTAAACTTACATTCTATTCTTAATGTACAATGATTGTATTTAATTAGTCATTTATTTAAATACTTTACTTTTTAAATTATTCAAAGCCACATTTAAATATGAGGAGAAATCAATAAATATTTCTTGAAAAAAATAAAATAAAAAAGCAGTGTTGGAGTGCATAAAAATTTCAATCATCTGAGTTTATAATATTCTCTCTAATACATGATATGCTTTCTTTATAAATACATAATACGCAATTGATTGATCACTTGAGATATTCTTTAAATTGATTGAAGAGCACTAGTAACAGCAATTTTTTATGCCCATATGGGACCCAACAGATGCCTCCTAATGACCGTACGATGATCCAGCTCTTGTAAATATGCTAGAATCAATCGATCGATCAATCAAAATGAAGTATTATTCGCATTCTTTCCTTTCTCATCGATACTTATGCAAAATTCTTACAATTTCATTCTCCACTCTTCATATACACTCTTTTATGAAATTTTGTGTGTGTATACAAAAATACAGCGATGGCGAGGATAATCCCTATGGCTTTATCTATTAGACCCTCGCTCTCCTCTTCCAGGTCTGGCTTTGTTGTTTCTCGTTGCTCGCCCCCTTATCATCGCAGGCTCAGTTTATCACATCTCAGCAGTGGTATTTTAATTCTCTCTTATTTTTTTTTTTAATTTTATAGCAATTTTTTTTTGATTAAATTCTGTATACGTTTTCGCTACTTTTAGTATAATTAGGGTGGAGATTGAGTATATTGTTTTAAAACGTTATTGTCATAAGTAGTTAGTGTTCTGCAGAACGCTGAATGTAAGAAATTTCGTACTTTGGTATATTGGAGATTTTAAGAACAAATTGGCTGCGGATAGAAAGTAATAGTTTGAGTTGGAAATTTCGTAAGTCCTTTTATGTGAATATACAATGCAAAATTTGAAGCATCTCGTTGTTGTTTCTGGATTCTAATTTTCCCTAGTTCCATTTTTGCTAAATAATGATTTTAGACTTCAGATAGTTGTTGATATAGAACTGCTAAGTGCTAATGTGTTCTATTTAATCCTGGAGGTTTTGATTGTCAACTGAGAGCCTCTCCTTGAACGATCAGATCTCTCTGATGAAACAGATGAATATGATGCATGTTTTAGTTTTAACTCTAAATTTATTTTGTAGATGGTTGTTTCTTCTTAGTTCATGATCCTGGTCAGTTTTAGATAAAATTGGGGCATGGAATTAAAATTCAATGAAATGACTAAAAAAAGTAAACTCAAGTGCTACTCAAATTCCAATCTACAGTTTTATTACAACAGACAGCATTCAATTTCTGTATGACGTTATTCGTTTCTTATAATTATTGTAATTATGTCTCCTTTGATTTGGATTTGAGTGTACAAACTGAGTATGTTATTGTAATATATATATAAAATAGTTGAGTCATTCGCTCTATATATGTATCTGCGCGTAAATGTTTCATCTTGTTGATAGAGACTTCTTATTAAATCAATTTCGTTTTATATGCGCCTTTCACTTTATCTTCAATCAATGATAATCATACCTGGCACTAAAAAGAACTATATTTTAATGGAAGTTATAGCAACACTATTGCAAATGAGTGCTCAAGTTTCAGCCAAGAAACTGCTTCAATTGGTTGAGGAAAATCCAAATGCCTGGGTGTCCCTATATTCTGCCCCATGTCAAATGAGAACTAATATGAAGCATAGTTGTGGTCCTTCTTCTGTATCTCTTTTAATTTAGTATTACTCATGTTATTTGTGCTCTATGATCTCCTTTTCTTTGTAAGAATCAAAAGATTGAAATTTCTTATTAGTGTTCTGGAAAAGTGATCCTCCAAAATTCTTAGCCTCATCAGTAGTCAAACATTACGACTAATGGGTTTAAAGTGCTGGTGATGTCGAACGAGAAAGAGAAAGCTGGGTCAAGAAAGTAAAAATGAGAAGAGAAAATGAGAGAAATTTGGGAGGATGAAAAACTTCAGTGTAATTGTATTTCTAATTAATTTTAAAGTTGCGTGTCCCTTCTTAGTTCTTATAGACATAAAGCATTTAAAATAGAATGAAACTTCTAAACAATGCATAACATCAAAATCTCATTAAAAAAAAATCTAATCTAAAAATAAAACAAATTCCAAACTACTTTTTATATTTTCTAAAATACATTTTCAATTTTCATAATACCTTCCAGTTGAAGAAAACTTGACTCCAGCGATTTAACTCCAAATAGTTGTTTACAACTCTGGATCAAGAAGTTCGAACTCTTCTTCTATGATCCAAGGATCTTCAGGGTGCAGACGTTGAGCCAAACTTCTAATGTGAAATAAATCTAACTACTTTTTAGTTTATCTAAACTAGATGTTCAATTTTCTATCAGTTGGTGGGCTCAAAAGAAACACTGTTTTCTTGATAATCTTGAATGTTGTCCAGCTATGCCTCAGTTTCAATCCTTCGGGCTTACAGCTTCAAAGTTATTTAGAGGAGAGGGTGGCAGGATTTCAGTTAGTGCAGCTGGAACTGTGGCACAAGCAAGTACTGCTACTACTCAAGAAAATGCCTTGAAATGGGTTAAGAAAGACAAAAGAAGAATGCTCCATGTTGTTTACCGTGTGGGGGACGTGGATAGGACCATAAAGTATGTCTTTGTATACAATCATCTGCTTTTGATCTTGGGTGCTGTTTTTCTCTATTGAAATGACTGGCTTTAGTATAATCAAATGGTGTCTGCAGATTTTACACAGAGTGTCTAGGGATGAAACTGCTTAGAAAACGTGACATACCTGAGGAAAGATATACAAATGCGTTTCTCGGATATGGTCCTGAAGATTCTCACTTTGTGGTCGAACTCACTTACAGTAAGCATCAAACTTTTACTAAACCGCTATTCTCCACCTCTATTGATTAGAGTTGAATGATTGAAAATGCATTGCTCCTTGTACCTTTTTGCGAGTACATTACTATTGCTTTTGTCAAGTTTACTTATCAGCAATAGTGTGTTTTTATCCTGATAATGCTTTCAGACTATGGGGTTGACAGCTATGACATTGGAACCGGTTTTGGCCATTTTGGAATTGCAGTTGATGATGTAAGTTCCGTTTATAATATATGGCCATGTAGTAGATATGATCTAAACTTTATGATCTGTTTGATATGCAGCATAACCTTGAAGATACAAACCTCTTCTTCTAATGACCTTTTAACTTGCTTGCTTTCTAGTTGTCTAATATTGTTAATTTAACTACTTTGTTTCTCTGCTCCTTTAAACGAGGCAAGAGCATCACATACTGCCAGAGAATTTTTTTTGGCTGCTTACCTCTTTCAGGCAGTTCTAATATATTAGGCCCTCTCCCCCCGTAAAATAAAAGAAATAAAAGAGAATTTGTGAGTGCATTTTAATATTTCTTGTTATTTACACTAGCCTTGTCCCTTGTGCACATTCTAGAACTATCTAGTTTTTAAGGTTTGCAAGATATTCAATTTCTACTGAAATCATGAGTGTATTATAATATTTCTTTTATTGTTGATAGCATTGGCCCTTTTGCACGTCTAGCATAATCTAGTTTTACTGTTTTGAAAGATGGCGAGTTCAGTGTCGATACTTAGTTTCTGCTGAATTATTGTTGGTGTAAAAGCATGTTTGAATAAATTTTTTTCATTCTCAATCTTGACACACTCGCACATAACCTCACTACTTCTCCCTTTAGAATAAATGAAATTGCTTAAATATTGTTGCCACAATGCTTAGATAACAAAGACAGTTGACCTCATAAAAGCTAAAGGTGGTAAAGTTGCCCGGGAACCTGGTCCTGTGAAAGGTGGCAAAACTGTTATTGCATTCATAGAAGATCCTGATGGTTATAAGTTCGAACTTTTGGAAAGAGGTCCTACACCTGAGCCATTGTGTCAAGTAATGCTTCGAGTTGGAGATCTTGATCGTTCTATTGAGTTCTATGAGAAGGTGAGATAGAAAGAAAGCCACTTGTCTTTTTATCATCTTTGAGATCTTTCCTGGTGTATTACTTATCATTAACATATTCTTCATTTTAAGATTCTTTCTCTAATTTTTTCTTACCTATTCCTTGTTCTGAACTTGTGCTATGTTGTGCTTCTTTTTTCCCAAAAAATTATTGGTAACATGACTTCATATTTTATTGTTGTCGTGGTGCCTTTTTTAGGCTTATGGCATGAAACTTCTTAGCAAGCGAGACAATCCTGATTACAAGGTAATTATGTCTTTTATTTGTCAGAGACAAAAATTCAATCATTAAGTAGATATTTTCTCTGTCAACTACCCCCCACCACCCAACCCCAGTCATCCTTCTGTCTGCCAGAATTTATGAAACATGTATAATTCATCTAAGACTCGAGTTCAGCACTTCAGCTTGCTCTTCCTTCTGTATCTCTGTTTCCTTCATTCCTGTGGAATCTTTTATGCCTTATTTTTCCATGATGCTCGAACCCCACCTGGCTTCCGGTAAATGTTAAGAGTTCCACTGTTTGATTTCTAACTTGCTCCAGTTGCTTGTTAAACACTCATTTAGGGCCTGTTTGAGGCCCATTTTTTAGGTAGAATGTATTTTGGAATAGTAGATTGATGGAGAATGTGTGGTTAAAAATGAAGGAAATTTTTTTGTGTTGCGTGTAATATTATTTTATTGAAGAATGTGTGGTTGAAAGGAAGAGGGAAAAAAATGTATTTTAAAAAAAAAGGGATCAAACAAGGTCTTAGCCCATGTTTGACTAATACACTGTTTATAAGCGATCAAACCACTTTTTATCCATACATTTCTTGAGACCTACAAGTATTACCTACGTATTGACCACTTATTTCTATCTATTATAATCTAAGCCATGAAGCAACTCCCATACATGCTTTAGATGCATTTTTTATTGCAAATTTATCAATGGTCCGCTGTACCGTTTAACAGATCTATTTAGTTGAGTTGACTCTCATATTAATTTCTGTTATGTAATAACTGATTCTGTAATTCCTTTTAGAAGCAAAGAGGGATAAACAATTTTATCATGAGTTCATCGCTGAATTGTAGTGTAATATAAATAATTTTTAAGTTAGTAACCTATATTTTCCTGGAAACTTAAATTTAGTAGCTGGAATTTAGGGTGTTCTTAATTCCGAGTCCTAGATTGCCTGCAGATTATTAATTTATCTTGCTAATGCAGATTGTTCTTAATTCATTTTTCAACAAGATCAAGTTTTAGTGAACACTGCGTACTTATGTGATCATTTTGTCCACTATGCAGTATACAATAGCAATGATGGGCTATGGTCCTGAAGATAAAAATGCAGTAATGGAGTTGACGTACAACTATGGGGTTACTGAATATGAAAAAGGAAATGCTTATGCTCAGGTAAAATATTCTCTCTCAACCTAGCATTATTTTGACCCTCTGATGCTTAAAATGATGTAACTTTAGCCTTGCTTTGAAACTTTTAGTTTAATAAGCTGATTGTTTGTATGTCTTTTATCTGACAGATAGCAATTGGCACAGATGATGTTTATAAAACGGCAGATGCAATAAAGCTCTGTGGTGGAAAGATTACCCGAGAACCTGGACCCTTACCTGGTATTAATACCAAGATTACTGCATGTCTAGATCCTGATGGTTGGAAGACGGTATGCTTTTGGTCATAAACAATTTTCTCTACTATTCTTAGAACACTATATTACTGCATTAAATTGTCGATTGGGTTTTGAGTATCATTTGTTATAAGTTTTGGATGTGCAGCAAGTTGTAAGAATGAAGAGATACAGAACTTAAATATGCAACACCAGAATTTGAAGAAATGGAACACGAGTGAAGAAAGATTACTTTTGCATTTTTCTTTCTTACTAAGTAATCACATTCAAAGGGTGTTTATAATACAAAATGAGAATCAAAGAATAACAAATTCTGAACAATACTAGTGGTCCTATAAAAGCAGTTATACATAACAATCTTGTAACAAATTTTCCTTCTATCCCTTTTCTAGAATATCCAGCTGCCTATCTTCCGGATGGTTCCAATTTTGAGGAGTTGGAAGCATCTTCCAACGAGCATGCTGATGTGTATTTCTTCCAAATTTGTGCCATATCTATTCCTCTTAGTTTTAGATCAAATTAACTTTGTAATCCCCTCTGTTTATTATTGATAGTTTAAATAAGAAATTCAAGCTGAGTTAAAATAATTTTCAGTAGTAAAGATGCAAATAGGTATGGATTTGGTCAAAACATTGAAATCTTTGATAGAATTGAAGTAATGTGATTTATTATGTGAATCTGAAGCTGTTCTTTTAATTCGCTTGAATCTATTTATTCCTGTTGCCATCCATTTTCACATTGCAATTCAGGGATATAAGTATTGATGGCCAAAATATTCTATATATCTAAGAAACAATGTAAAGGTCAAATAATGGTAATAGAGAGCATAAGATGTTGAAAGTTTAAAATGCCTTGGCAGAATAGGTTGCCTACATGAAGTAGTGGTTTGGAGGGATTTCACACGAATGTAAGAGAGAGAAAATGATACTAAATAAAAGAAGTTATAGGATTTTAAGTTGCTTTTCCATCCAAGGAGAATCTAAAATATTATGATGAGTGCTACTTATTCTCATTGGAGTTGAACTTTATATTCCTCTACAAGCTGACCGAAGTAAATTAAAATCCATATATGAAAGAGAATCACCCTTAATTCATTATGATAAGCTCCAAGTCAATATGGTGGGTTGTACGATATGAGACTAATTGTGAACAGTGATGACCTAGGTAGTAGTTGGGTTCTCTGGCTTAATTTACAAACAATAAACCAAACTAAGCAATGTTTCCGTTGCCTTCGAGTATCCTTTTTCACCACTCAGCTCAGTTCATTCTAGATCTATTGGAAGATTTAAAGCAACTAGATCTCTAGCAGCCACAACATATGAGTTTAGTTTGAGTCTACCTCTATTTCCAACCTGTTTTATTTAGATGAACAATCTTGTGAACAATCAGCATCACTTTCACTTGTTGGCACATGTTCTTATTTTAATCTTATCGTTTTAGTATGACAACACGTCCATCTTAGCAGTTGTCCATCTTAAACTAAGATATTATCTCTTCTATTTTGAATTTAGTTATAGTTGTTTGTCCATCTTATTTTGAATGTTGCAGGTTTTTGTTGATAACATTGATTTTCTCAAGGAGTTGGAGTAAGCACTTGGTATAAAAATTGTCATGTCAATTTCCCTGAAAAGGATCATGTACAGATTCACTATGCTTCCTTCCTCAGTTACATCGCTCTCTGGAAATGTTCCTCTGGAAGCATAATTTTACAGCTGGGCTGCATGATGCAAAGTTTGGCCTAATATTTTTCGCTGCTCCATTCGAGTCAGAAAAAATAATCGGCCATAGTGCGAATGCAGGCAAATTTTGTGAATCAACTTTTTGTATTTTGTATCATTTTCGTGTCAAATGTTGATCAAACTCAGTCCTTAATTGGATCATGAAACCAATAGCAAGAACATGTATAACTCTTTGATTGCTATTCTTCAAGATTTTAGCTTGTTTGTATTGCTCCAAGCCTCCAAGGGAAATGGTTTCAGTAGGCCACTTCGTGAAATTTTTCACTCTAACATTGTCTGTCAGTCAGCTGTGGAAGAATATACACTTTGACATCTGGGCTTTGTTATGAACTGAAAATGATTTGTTAGAAGCAGCACCGTGCATGTGTGAACCTTGCCACAGGGCAGACAAATTCATCCTCCTAAACAACCTTCATTTGAGTAGAAAATTGTGCTCGAATGATCAATGACCTTGCAATGTTTAGTATACATAGTGACATCTCTTAGCACACAAATGTGGTCTAGTGGAAATGGGCGTTGGTGGGTGATGATAGCACAGGAGGGTGGACGAGGACGCATTGAGATATGCTGTCCAATTTTTGTTGTATAATTTGTTGTATATTCAATCAATTATTGATATGTCATTTTAAATTAGCATATCATCAATTTGGTGGGTTAGTGGTGAAGCTAATGAGAGCAAATTTGGGATAACATATTAATTTAAAAATGATATATCAATAATTGATTGAGTAGACAGTAAGTTGGACAACAGACGATGACCAGTGTTGGGACAGGGCCGAGGATGCATGGGTGGTGGCAGGATCAGAAAGAACATGACCTTTCGTATTTTACTTTATTCTCATCTCGTTTTTCTTTTTATTTATTTTCTCCATTTTTTTCTTTTTATTTGTTTGAATTGCATATAATGCCTTGGAAACAATGTGAAAATTCTTGTTTCTAGAAGAAAAATGAGTAAATTTGTAGAAGAAATTTTTTATTCATGGAAAAAAGTTTTGTAAATAACAAAGTAATAGAAAATAAATACTAACAACAGGGTATTCCGCAGATAATAATAATAATAAATGAATACTTAATAGTTGCTAAATGAAAATAATAATAATAATAATAATAATAATAATAATCAACAACATATCTCATCGACAATAACTTATTTATCGGTAATATAATATATGAAAAATAAATTTTTCAAAAAATCTTAAATCAACAACATAGTAACTAAATAAATAAAATTATGTGGGTGATTTCAACATTATCACTAATAATATTGCTTGATAATCATTAATGGGGATGGGCTGATAATCAATGACCATAGGGTCGTCGGTAATTCCATTTAAATGACTGTTACTGCGGACAATCAATGATGAATATTTGGTTTTGGGATCTTAGAGGTAGCTCTTGTAGGAGATTCGGATTATATCAGCTAAAGGTTGTTACGAGGACTCCAACTTGATAGTTTCTCATTTGGAGAGAGTGTTTTGGACTGTTGTTTATGTATTCTTCCGAGTCATTTTATTTTATGAGTCGGATTTAATATTATTGACAAAATTCAAAATGTTCTATTATGCTTCTTGGGTGCATAGTGTGGTTTTCAACCCTTCTTCTTATGCATGATGGTTTTGTCGAACTCAAAAATTGCACCAACAGAATCCTGGCCACCTTCGTTTCATGTAGGCATCATCGCACACTGGAACACCCCATTGGAGGCAAATATTGTCGATCAAGAAAAAGGTCCGCCAACCGCTTGCACTCCAACGGTTAAGTCAATTGTCGGATGAGAGAAATGAGTGCAAGGTACAGGAGAGGGGGTTCGACTTATGTTAGAAAAATATACCTGAGTGAAATAGGCCAAAATCCAAGCCCAAGATGCAATTGTTTAATTAAATAGGCACAATCAATTGAATAATCGATGTCACATCGGCATTATTGAAAAATTATTTAATCACGTACAGCGAAAAATAAAAAAATTTCTCTGTTTAAAAAGAAACCGTGATAGGAATTATACTTTTTATAGATTCTGCAAACGCCTTTATTGATCTTGGAACGCGAACAATCATGATCTACAATCCACAGCTGTCCAATTGTTTAGTCTCCAATGAAAATCAACACATGGAATGAGGATGAGAAAATTAGAGTTTTTATTTTCTTGTGTTAGGAAAATAATGAATTGTGTGCTATTTTTTTTCCTAAAACCCTAATAGTTTATTAATATAAGTCTAAGTGTGATTGACCCGTCTCTTAAACTACACCAAGTCCAATATTTAATTAATCCAATTAATTAAATTTGGTTCATAAATTAATTAATTAATTTAGACATATTAACAAGCAACCAATTAATTAATTGTACAATACTTGTTAATTAATTAATTGATGAATATCATTCTTCTAGTTCTCTTTTTGTGTGTGACCTATTAGATTCTCGATCAAGAAATCTTTCGACGTGAATTATTATTTTGATCTAATCAAAATAAATTAATTAATTAAAATATCCATTTTAATTTATTACCAATTCACATTCGTCGTCCCATATGACATTTAACAATATGTCACGATAATACATGTGACGGAAAATATCACGTGGCATGACAAAATCAAATTTGTTCGTTTACCGTAAAATTGTAATCATTTCGTCAACATGATCCGATCAATTACGAGATATGGATGTGTGTCAATCTTGATTATTAATCATATCTTTCATCCCACTCTTAAAATCAATATAAGTTGAAAATTCTTTTGACTTATGAGCACACCTTAGCCAATGATTTCGTTATCAACTTAATTGAGTGAAATGTAGAACATAATTTCTTACTATCTAAGAGTAATGAATCATCTATTGATCATTCACAACCTTCATATGATTTTTGGCATACCCGAATGATGCAGTATTAACGATCCTTGACAGCGCAACATCCAACATCACCAAAGTATGACTGTCCTCATATAAAGCACTATGATGACCTCAAGTCGAATGACTAATTCCACCATCAAATGTTAGAGATTAACCACTTATTCTCAAATAGTTATCCACGTAAAATCTCTCCACAGAGTCTCCAATATTTTATTCTATAACAAAACATTCATGTGCTTATTTAAGTGTCGCCACATTTTAGCTTGTAAGATCAGCTACTTACTTTACAAGTAAGAAATGCCACACGTGATTGTCTATCCGTAGTAACGATATATGTATCTCGTTATTACTTACAACCACATATGATTTAAAATTCAGTCATATATAATTTGTATCTCACAATCACAACTCCTTGTGATTAACAAACTACTAATACTTGAATATACAAATTCTATTATTTAATTTATTAGAATATTAATTCAATTAAATAATAGATCTGCCATAAATGAAATTCATTAATTTTATATTAAAAGTGTTTATGTTCAAGATTGATTAGACCTAGGGTATAACACTTACAAACTCTCACTTGCACTGGATCCAATCACTTATGTTTCTAATATCATAAGAGTCTAGATGACAATTATGTTTATGTTGCGACAACTATTTGTCAGTGATCTTTAATATTATCCATTGTGAAAACTCATTCTTTCTTTACATCATTTCATTGTATTATTTCTTCAATGAGATATCGCTTTAACATGTTTGAATCATTGATGAGATCTTAGTTCCTTTGCTTGCATGATGGCTCCATTGTTACACAATACTATGTGATCAACAATGTTGTGAACTACTCCAAGTTTATTAATGAACTTCTTGATCCAGACCACAACCTTTGTCTAAAGTAATAATATATAAGGCTTCTACTATTGAATCAACGGTTATTTTCTGTTTGGAACCTTTCTAACACACCACTTACGAATAAACCAATATCCAGATTGAGATTTGCTGTCATTCTAGTCTGACTAGAAGTTAGCATCAGTGTATCAATAAACTCTTAGTTCGTTTTTTATAAAATCAAATAGAAGATTCTAGTTCAAAGAGGATTGCTTCAATCTATATATGGATTAATCAAGCTTGCATGCCTTATAAGTATATTTGGATTCAATACCTTCGAGTTGTATCATGTACATTCCCTCTTGCAAGTTCCTATTAAGGAATGTAGTTTTTGACATCTATTTGTCATAACTCATAGCCATGGTATACAACTATTGCAAGCAAAATTCGAATGGATTTTAGCATGGCTACATGATAAATGGTTTCATCAAAGTCAACTCAATGTCTTTGTTTATTACCTTTTACTGCTAGCCTTACTTTGTATGTATGAATGTTTCCATCCATGTCGACCTATTCATGTAAACTCATTTACAGCCTATGTACTTTATTCCATAAGGCGATCGATCAAGGTCCAAACTTTGTTCATATACATCTAGTTTATCTCGGATTTCATGGCCTTCTACCATTTCTTTGAGTCAATATCTGACTTTGTTTCTACGTAACTAGTAATTTCATCATTCTCGATTAGTAATGCTTGATTAGTAATCACAAATTTGTACATTCTAGGAGCTTGAATGATCTTACAAGATTTACATGGAGCTGACGTGTCATCAACTAATGTTAGATCATACTCAGTTTCATTTACTTGGTCAATTATATTTATGGATTCTTGAACTCTTTCAAGTTCTATTTTGCTCCATTTGATCTCTACTAGAATGAACTCTTTCTCTAGGAAGATGGTATGTCTCGAGACGAAAGTTTTCTTCTCAATGGGATTATAAAATTGATATCCAGTTATCTACTTAGATATCCCACAAATATGTATTTATCATATTTATCTTTAAACTTATTCAATTCAGTGTCTTCACATAAGTGCCACAAACCCAAACTTTAATATGAGACAAGTTGGGCTTTCTGTCTTTCATAACTCATATGGAATTTTGTTAATTGAT